CTCAACAACAAAAGAAAATGGTCTCTAAACTGAAGAGACCACCCACAGAGTGGGAGAAAATATTTGCCAGCTATACATCAGACAAAGACTGATAACCAGAATATATAGGGAACTCAAAAAACTAAGTTCTCCAAATTAAACGAACCAATAAAGAAATGGGCAACTGAACTAAACAGAACTTTTTCAAAAGAAGAAATTCAAATGGCCAAAAAACACATGAAAAAATGCTCACCATCTCTAGCCATAAGGAAATGCAAATTAAAACCACACTAAGATTCCACCTCACCTGTTAGAATAGCCATCATCAAACACAAACACCCAGGTATTGGCGAGGATGTGGGAAAAAGGAACTTTACACTGCTGGTGGGAATGTAAGCTAGTACAACCACTCTGGAAAAAATTGGAGGCTTCTTAAAAATCTAAACATAGATCTACCATTTGATCAGCAATACCACTCTGGGGATATACCCAAAGAATGTGCACAGGTTACTCCGAGGCACCTGCACACCCATGTTTATTGCAGCACTATTCACAATAGCCAAGTATGGAAACAGCCAAGATGCCCACCACTGATGAATAGGATTAAGAAAATGTGGTATTTATACACAATGGAATTTTATGCAGCCATGAAGAAGAATGAATGTTATCATTTGCTGGTAAATGGATGGAACTGGAGAACATCATTCTGAGTGAGGTTAGCCTGGCCCCAAAGACCAAAATCGTATGGTCTCCCTCATATGCGGACTTTAGATCAAGGGCAAACACAAGAAGGCGGATTGGACTTTGATCACATGATAAAAGCGAGGAGCCACACAAGGTAGGTATGAGGATAGGTAAGCCACCTAAAAAACTAGATAGCATTTGTTTGCCCTCGATGCAGAGAAACTAATGCAGATACTAAGCGACAGAGGACAATAGGAGAAGGGGACCAGGAACTAGAGAAAAGGTTAGTTCGAGAAGAAATTAATTTAGATAGGTAACACACAGTCAGGAAAGCAATGCAAGTCAACTGCCTGTTGTAGGCCTTTTGCTAGTATTGCCTTGGCTATTTGTGGTCTTCTGTGTTTCCAATGAATTTTAGGGTAGATTTTTCAATCTCTGTGATGAATGCCATTGAGATTTTGATGGGAATTATGTTGAACATGTAGATTGCTGGGGATAGTATAGCTATTTTACCATGTTGATTCTACCATCCATGAGCATAGGAGATCTTTCCATCTTCTCTGGTCTTCTTCAAATTTGCTTTTCCAATGGCTGATAATTTTCTCTGTAGAGGTCTTTTAGATTCTTTGTTAATTTTTTACTAGGTATGTGATATTTCTGAGGCTATTGTAAATGGATTATATTCCTATATTCTTTCTTAGTCTGTTCATTTTCAGTGTATAGAAAGGTTAATGATTTTTGTAAATTGATTTTGTATCCTGCTACTTTGCTGAAGTTATTTATGGTGTCAAGGATTTTTTTTTGTAGAGTTTTTTGGATCTTTTAGGTGTAAGATCATGTCATCTTCAATTAGCAATAATTTGACTTCTAGAACTCAATAACAAAGAAACAGGAGAAATAGTCAAATCTGGAAACTGAACTACATGCTGCTCCATGATCAGTGGGGTCATTGAAGAAATAAGGGAGGAAATAAAAAAGTTCTTAGAAATTAATGAAATGAAAGCATAAAATATCAGAAACTTTGAGACACAGAAAGGCAGTGCTAAAGGGAAAGGTTATAGTCATGAATGCATACACTAAACACAAAGCTCAAATAAACAATCTAATGCTGCATTCTCGAACTCCTAGAAAATAAGAGCAAGCTAAACCAAAACTAGCAGTAGGAAAAAATAATAAACATAAGGGCCAAAATCAACGAAATAGACATCAAAAATCCCATACAAAGAATCAATGAAACAAAAAAGCTGTTCTTTGAGAAGATAAATAAGATTGACAAACCCTGGCAAATCTGACTAAAATGAGGAGGTAAAAAACATATTAATAAAATTAGAAATGAAAAAAGGTAGAAACCACAAACACCAGGAATCCAGGGAATAATCAGGAACTACATTGAAAACCTATATGCAAGTAAGCTATAAAATCTAGAAGAATTGGTCAAATTTCTAGACACAAATGATGATCAAAATAAGCCAAGAGGATCATAATCAAAAATATAATCTATAACAAACAATTAAATTGAAAGCAGCAATGAAGTCTCCCAAAAAGAAAGTCCAAGACCTGACACATTCATTGCTGAATTCTACCAGACTTTAAAGAAGAACTGATACCAACACTCCTCAAAATTTTCCACCAAATAGAAAGAGAAGTAACACTACAAACTCATTCTATGAAGTCAGTATTACACTCATCTCCAAACTGCTCAAGGACATACACACACACACACACAATAAATTATAGGCCAATCTCTTTAATGGACTTAGATGCAGAAATCCTCATATGGAAAAGATCACACACCATGATCAAGTCAGTCTCATCCCAGCAATACTGGGATGGTTCAACATATGAAAATCATTAAATGTAATACAGCAAATTAACAGAAGCAAAGAATAAACCACATGATAATCTCAATAGATGAATAAAAAGCCTTTAAACAAATTCATATTTCTTTGGGTATATACCAGAAACCATCACATACATATCTCAAAATAATCTTAGGCAACCTAGATTTTGAGGGTCTTTATTTGTATATGTATATTATGATATCTTATTAAAATCAATAAACTATAAATTTTCATCTGTAGAACTATAAGCTTAAAATGCTGCTTCAGTTTATGTTACTTTTGTTTATCTGTAGCAGTACAGAGAAGATGCTCTATGAACTAAGAGTCTCTTTTAATTTCTTTCATTTATGAAAATATGTATTTTGAGTTTGTCCACTTTCTTTGAATCTCATATTCACTAGGACTGATGGGCTATAATACATACCCCAAATTTTAATCTTTTTATACTGTAACATGTAATTATGCAGATGGTAGAGATTTTAGCTAATGAATAAACTTTTATTGGTTTGAAGCTACTTTTCCCTACTAATTTATGAAACAGTATGATACATGCCATTTTATCCATATACCTGTTTGTAATAATTGAAATGATTAAAATTGTTGAATTCATTGATTTAATTTACTATATTCCTATGGGTATCTTGCATCATTATTTTAGTGTTATGGGCTTCTGTTATAAAGTAACGTAATTCAAAAGGAGTTTAGAGAATAAAACCATAAAAAGTAAGAAAACCAGTTACATTATGCTGAATGCAGTAAATTGACATTACTGAAGAAAATATGAAAAATCACTTGTAACAGAGTATGAGTAAATATGATAATTTTGATTACTATAGTATAATTTTTATTGCTTACTGCTTTCTTATGCATGGGACTTCCTTTGAAGTGATATTGCAATTTTAAAAAATATGTGAAGTCTAGTATGGTGGTTCATGTCTCCAATCCCAGCTACTCATGAGGCAGAGGTTAGAAGGATTTAGGTCCAAGAACAATGAGGGCAAAAATTTAGTGAGAACCTCATCTCAATGAATAAGCTTAATATGGAAGTACAAACCAATTATCCCAGCTGCATAGCCAGTATAGGTAGGAGGATCACTTCTGATGCTGGCCCTGGACAAAAACAGGAGACCTGATCTGGAAAATAACTAAAGCAAAGAAGGTGTGGGTGTGGATCAAGTGGTAGAGTAATTACATAGCAATGTGTGGCCCTGAGTTCAAACCCCCATAACACCAAAAAGATGTGAATCTCTAAAGAGGGACTTTTGTCATAACATTGATTACAGTTTAATTGCTTGAATTATGTATTAATATCTACTATCTGAGCAGATTGATCCAAACCCGTAGCACCCAGAATATTAGTTTGTTATGATGCTAACACTATATATATTTTTTGAAAATATGAGTTACAGCCTTTTTATAGCTTTGATTCTATACAAAATAATGCATGTACCTAATTTGAGATACTATAGCTTCGAAGATCCAGAAGCTTTGAGAAAATAATTCCCTTATTTATGTGAAAAAAATCATAAAAATGAAATTTTAGCCTCTGAAGTGCATCATAATTGAGCCAATGTAAACAAAATATTTTTTGTTGAAAATACTGTCTTTGTGTTAAAGTCATCTCAATATATTATCTATCTAAAAGTCATTGGTATTTTGGTTTATATTACATATTAAAATTGTGTATATACTATACATGAGTGACATGCTGAATGTATGTCAGTTGTTAATCAGAGATATTGTAATTTTCTTACTATAGTAATTTAGAGAGGGGATTTCAATATGTTTGTAATTATAAGATAATTTTATAACACTAATCCAGGTAATTTGCACTATCTATATATAAACTTAATGTGACCAAGAATTTTGTCTGCAATGCAGTTATGTGGCAACTATAATTATGCAGAAATGATTAAAATAAGAGTCATTTTAAGGTTTCCTATTTCTTTAGGGTATGTTTTCAGGCCTAAAGTACATATACATTTTAAATTATTATCACTGGAAAATTATCTCTCTCTTTTTTGTAGTATTGGAGTTTGAACTGAAGGCCTTACATTTCCTAGGAAGGCTCTTTATCACTTGAGCCACTCCACCAGCCCAATAATCATCCCTTGTTTATTGACATACAATAGTTGTGTATCTTCATTAGGTACAGTGTAATGTTTTGCTATAAATGCATATTGAATATTGATCCTTGAATTCTATATTTGTGTCTTTGCTCTCTTATGTGTGTTGTGGATACATTCATATAGCAGTATAACAACTTCTTCAGATTGCTTTTAATATCTTTGCCTTTCAATGAAAGGTGCAAGACTGAGTGAAATAATCTGAAGCAAGCAAACGTAACATTGCTTAATGAATTACAGGCAGAAACAGGAAAGGTGTTCTTTATAATTTCTATACATAGGAGAGTGAAAATCAAATACTTAAGCAGAAAATTCATGTCATCTTTAATGAAATTCAGTAAAAATTATTTGCTGATGTGATTGGTTCTCTCTTCCCCAGGTACTGGGAGACCGATGGGCAAACATCTGTAGGTGGACAGAAGAACGCTGGGTTCATTTACAAGACATTCTTCTAAAATGGCAGCGTTTCACTGAAGAACAGGTAAAACAAATGGGAAATTGGCCCTGGAAAACATGAAGAGATAATCTATTAGAAAACCAATAAAATACCATATTTTTAATAATTACTTTCTTATTTGGAATTCTTTTATTTCTTTCAGTGCCTTTTTAGTGCGTGGCTTTCAGAAAAAGAAGACTTAATGAAGAAGATTCAAACAAGTGGCTTTAAAGATCAAAGTGAAAAGTTATCAAGTTTTCAAGCATGGCTGTACGTATATTTTACCTTCAGTAGACTTTTAAATCCCTACAGTGTATGTAACTACTATTTTGTGTTTCTATATTATTATTTAAGTTTTAACAGATGTTCATTGCTTTGCTTAGATTATTTTAGGTAGAATATTATTTTTTTCTTAATTAAATGGAGAAGGCTATAAGTAAACTTCAAATATGTCTTTTCAACAATATTCTACTTTGAAAAAATATAGTATACTCAGAATAAAACTTTAGTTAAAATTGAAAAAAATAACAAAAAGAAGTACTTGTTAATCTTCAATAAATTCTAAATAACATGTTTCTAAACTGGTATATTGTTTCCCTGAGTAATATATTGTAGATACAAGATGTAATTATGATTACATTCAAGGAGTTTAGCTTTGACTTTTTCAAACAACAAAAGCAAATGGTATTGATTGTAAGTACTTCATTTGTTTTGAGAAATGAGATTAATTTGGAAGTAAAAGGACTCCATAGAAGGCATGAATGTTACCTTTTATTTCAGTTGGACCTTACAAGAGATAAAAAGAATTCTAAAACTTTTTTTCTTTCATGAATTTTAATATTTTCAAGTAATACAGACCAATCTAAGATTAGGAGCCTAGTTTTAATGGACTATTCAAAAATAGGATTTCTTTAAATTTAATACATCAATTCTATGATATGCTAGTTTGATACTAGCATTACAAACGAAAGTCTATTGCAAATAAGGTTTCATAATTTTACTTAACTGAATCAATTTGTGCCTACATAGATATTGTATATTGTACTTCTTAATATTTGCATCATTTCTTTAAAGCTAAACATATATAATTTTCCCAATTATTGTAAGTGTATACCACTTTGCCAAATGTTTATATGTATCATTCATTTTTTTGTTCCATAGTTACAAGCACTCTTTGGACTTTCAAAATATATTCACTTATATATTACTTATTACAAGCTACACTTTACTGGTAATAAACTGTTTACCAAATAACAGATGTTTATGTGAGTGATGTGGCCCCTAGACACAGAGTTCAGAAAAGGAATCTATGTTTGTATTGCAACATGAGTGAAAATATCAGATACATTTATAATTTTCTTCTGCAGATGGTGCAGGGACATCTAGAGTTTTTCACAATCATATTGGCATTTTTGTAATTCTCTTTGGTATGACAATTGGTAATAAGAAGATTAATTAGAAAATCTGAAGTAGCATTTCATATGAAAATGAGAAATTTTGAGATACACTGAATAAAATTTATGACAAGAGATAGAAATGTGGAATGGTACCTACACTGACTCCTCAATTGAGTGACTAGATTCATAAGCTACTTAGTAGATCTGATATCAGAGAATAAGAGGAATTTCTCAAATTAAAAGAATGATTTTTTTTGCTGTTTGGATATGTTGAGTCCAATATGCCTTTGAGATATCCAAGTGAAACATCACTTCTATTAGTCAACTTTATATAGGCACTGTCATGTGCACAGAGCGGAAAGGATCAATTCAGGAAGTATTTTATCATATCTAGAGGAAAGGAAGAATGGACAATATATACTAAAACAGGAAATTCCTGAAAAATATTACTCTTCTCAAGCAAAAGATAAATCCTTTCAGTCAATATGTTAGTGACCACTAGTTATCAAATTGTGCTCATTCTCTCTGATTAAGGACCAAATTAGAGTGCTGGTCAAATGTAGAACCATGTGATTCAGTAGTCAATCATTATGGGGATGGAATAACCTCATTAGAATGTAAACTACATAAATGCTGACACTATGCCACTCTGTTTATCATCATCTCCTTATTATTTAGGATGATGACTCATACAAAGCAAATGTTCTATAAATAGTTAAAGAATAGGAACTATTAAGGAAATATCCACAAGAAGATTTCTTTCTGGGCAGAACTTTGAAAAGGCAAGACTTAGTTGTTCTTCCAGTTACTATTACTATATAATGGATAATTTCAAAAAGTTTAAATTAGCATTAATTTTACTACGTTCATGGATATTTGTGGGTCACTAATTCAGAAAACATATAGGGTGATGGCTTCTCTGCTTTACAATATTTGAAACCTCTTCTGCAATGTCTAGATGGCTGGGAACTGGAATCATCTGAAAGTATTCATTTACTGATAAACATCTAATACCTGAGTTGGATACCTTGAAGTATGCTGCTTCTGAATAAACAACCTTTCCTTGGTAGTTTCATGTTGTTTGCCTTCATCATAGTATGGTAGTTTCAGATGAGTCAGAATTCATTCACAGAGGCTAAACACTCATGAGTGTTTCTGTAAATAAAACATAGTCTCAAACTTTATATGGTGTTATTGCTGCCATACTTGACTCTTTGAAAGAGCCATAAGCCTTTCCAAATTCAAGGGAAAGGAAATAGATTTCATCTCTTGATGGAGAAGTACCAAGACCAAATTATAGCAGAACATGAGAGACAGATTTGTTTAACAGACATATCTAGAAATTACCTTATGACATAATGTTACAAAGTTATTTGCATGATAATAAATTACTAAATTCAATACATAGTGCAGGTTTGTATGAGTATCCTGATGAAATTTACCAATCAAGAAGGTTGTTCTTGATAGCAACATATTGATAAAATCTAAATATGGCAAAGCTAGAAAGGGTTTTGTAAATTGTCAAGTATATCCCCAATCCAAATTACATGTCTAAAGTTCCTACTCTGGTTATTTCAGAAGAGGAAATTGAGGTTTCTGATATAAAAGCACATGGCATATACTAGGTATTATATAACATTAGTAGGAGAATTAAAATGATCGCGAAGGTGTCCAAACTCAGGTCCAGGCCTTTCAAGTTATTTCAAACTCCTCATATCATTTCATTCCTTGGGAAAAAATGACTGAAACTGAGAACTGTCATGTGCCACTATGTGGATATTTTTGCAAGTAAAAACTTTGCTACCCTCAGGGCCATAAAATTCTCTCAATAATCTTCCAATATGATTAAAATTCATATTATGTCATCTTAGTTGTGAACAAAGTGAAAATATGTTTTGTATAAGCCTTACCATTTGATAGTTTAAGCCAATTAACAAAACCTGACAGCTGGTCTAGAATTTGAGGTAAAATTCCCCTGCTGACTCAGGCAGTGAATAAGAATTTAATGTTCATTAAAATATGTCACAATCTGAGACCTAAAACAGGTACCATCTGTCACCAGTTCCTACTACAACCTAGGTATAGATATAATGTGCTAAAATCTTCTTTTATTTATAATCAATATAATTTGTTTTGAAATAGTATCACTAATAACCCATGGGATTATCTCCTGCTTTTCACTGGGGGTGTGATGTGGGGAGGTTGATGTTTTACTTTTTCTAGGTCCATGACATTTCTATGTACAGCAGCTAGGTCTCTTATTTTTATGTTTAAGACTGCTTTTTCTATTGTTGTAAAAGATAAAAATTAAAAGGAGAGAAGAAACTGGTCTTTATGAGGTGAATTTTAGGAGTTATAGAATCAGGTAATTTATCATGGGAAGGGCCAAGTCCAGCAGAAATTTGTTTCTGTGGATTGCTGGTGTTTGCCAAGTATGGACAACAAAAACGGAAGAGTCATGATCCATAAGGGTATATTGTGGAAGGCCTATGGGGATACTGTATTCTCAAGTGGAAGCTGAATCAAAGGACAGAAAAATAGAGCTTATAGGAGCCCCCAAACTCTATTTGATAGTGCTATTTTACTTTGATTTGATACTTTAACCTCAGCTCCTATAATGGTCCTCAAAGAATTTATCCAACTAGAGGTAGTATGTCATAAAGTGTGGTTCTCAGATCAGTGGCATCAGCATCACTTGGAAACTTATAAGAAATGCAAATTCTTAGGCTCATCCCAGGCCTACTCATTTATAAACTCTGCAGGTAGCGCCCAGTAATCTGCAGTTTTAATAGGCCTTTGAGGTGGTTCTGATGTTCCCTCATGTTGAAAACCCTGCAATGGCCCAATCTACTTAAGTACAATTGGTGATTAAAATGAAATGAGGTATGTTATACATTGAGATAAGAAATTACAGATAGAATAGATACATTATTCAATTTTTCCAGTATAAGATAAATTTTATTGTCATTATACACTGAAACATACTCCGGATGAGAACAGGATGAAGGTTTTTTAGGCCTTTTATAAGTATACATAGTTTTTCAACTTCAATTCATGTTCTACTCTTGTCTTACTGAATATTGTATCTGTTACTTACTTACCTACTTTGGTGGTACTAATACTTGCACTCAGAGCCTCATACTTCATGGGCAAGCACTTCACCATTTGAGCCATACCCCCAAGCCCTTTCTTATTTAAGTTATTTTTCAGGTTAGGCCTCATGTTTTATGCCTGGGCATACAAGGAAACATGATTCTCCTCCCTATGCCTCCCATACAGTTGGGATTATAGATGTGCATCACTATATCTGGCTTGTTGTTGAGATTGGGTCTCACTAACTTTTTGTCTGGTCTGTCTTAATCTATTATCCTCCTGATCTCCACTTCCTGAGTAACTGGGCTCATACATATGAGCAACTGTGCCTGGCCCCTCAATCTTATTTATTGACTATGATTTCCTCCCTTCTTTGGAGGTAGGTCCAGGAGTCTGGCTTCTATAAAAATAAAATATTTATCTTCTTTAGTATCCCAGCTGACTTTTGCCTTGTATAAGTTTTCTAGACTTTACTTTTGCCTTTTGAACTTTCTAGAACTCTGTGAGTTTCTAGCACTCACAGACCTATGATCAGTTCTTTATATGTGGAATGATAGTTTTAAACTCTAGGAACATGTAAAATCATAGTTATTAAATATGTGCTCATAAGATTCAAGCTTAAAAGAAATGACATTCAAAAAGAGAAGGGAGAAACTAATTCATTACTATGATCCAATGAATAACAGTGAATTGCCTTTCTTTCCTCCCTCATCTAATTACTGTGAGAGAATCCCTTTGGGAGTTCAGAGCAAAGAGGGAGAGAGGAAAAGGTAAAGAGAGAAGGAGAAAAATTGGAACCAAACAATTAATCTAATATCACATTTTTAAAAACTAGTATCTGGAAGTTACTAGGTCAACATTGTGAGTAGGTCCATGCTTTGCCATGAATTTAAATAAATGTATTGATTCAGTAGTTATACAACTTCATTATACTACTGGTTTTATTTCACTTTTGGTACACTTTTCATAATTGCATATTTAATGTTCATTCATTTTAATTTTGTGATTGTTACCAAATGCTTCTCCATTTTGTTTAGTATTAATACAGGAGGCTTAGTTTCATTAGCAAAAGGTTACCCGTAGATTTCCAACACAATCCTCTTATTTAAACATATCTTTCATACTCTTCTTCTAAAATGTTTTCCAAGTCCTTACATATTTAGCTTAAATAATGGATACATCCATTGGCCTTGCACATATGGCTATTGAAAATAAGTCCTTAATATCTGAGAAAATAAGTGAAAGAATATTGTACTTACATCTTTCTATTTTAAAATATGTGTCTTTACTTACATTGTGCCTCTTTCCAAAAAGAACTTGTGATGGCTTTTAACAAAATCAATATATGCCAAAAGTTAACAAAGGAAAATGAGGGTCTATAAAAGATTTGGAGGAATATACCTTGAAATTCAAATTTGACTCTCAGCTCTTGGCAGATAACATAAACTGTTGTTTTACTACTAGTGCAAGTTTGCACTTAAATTTAACGAAAAGCTAACATGAATTAAACAAATGCAATAAATATACAAAACTTACCTATTGCTGCACTACAATACTGAAAGTTTTATTTCAATCTGAATTCAATTTATAATATCTTAATTCATACTTTAGTTTGTCACAATTATTTAAACTGAGAAAATCACTAATTACTGAGAAGAAAATTAGAAATGACCTTTAAAGTTCATGCATTTTTCTCCATAAAAATGACATAAAGACTGCAATATAAAATACAGCAGATTCTGAATAAAAGATAAACTAACTGAAGCATTCTGCAGTTCATAGATATCAATGCAGCTGGCAGGCCAAATTGAGCTACATAAACTGTCCTTGCAGGGGGTTGTATTGACTGCTCTGTGTCGATGACACTTTGCTTCATGAGCATCTGTTTTATGACAATTTCTTTGCTATATGAAATATTTGTCTTAAATAAACTTAGATTTGTTTTAGAGAGACAGGTGTCATGGTTTAGTTTATATTCATTGTGCTTGCTACTGCCAGAAGAATAGGCTTGTAAAAGGAATATAAAATGATTTTATTTTTCCTTTCTTTTTCTTTTTCTGTGTTATATTATATCATAGACTAGTACTTGATAATGATTTCCCTATGTATAAGGTGACCTTCTTGGATAGAATAAAAGAATGAGGTGCAATGAACTACAGCTTTCATATTTATTCACTCCAAGTCAAGCAAAGGGAAACTGAAAATATGAGTAGTAAAAAAAAAACAATTATTTACAAAATAAGCAAAGAAATTCTGAAGGATTTGGGTCATATTCAATGACTTAATTTTTTATCTAATGAGCTTTAACAATAACTTTAGAAAATAATTACTCTGGGCATGGTGGTACGTGCCTGTCAACCCAGTTACAAGGAGGCATAAATAGGAGAATCACTGTTCAGGCCACCCAATGAAAAATACAAGACCCAATCTGAAAAATAACTAAACCAAAAAGGGCTGGGGGTGTGGCTCATGTGGTAGAGTGCTTTCCTAGCAAGTGTGGATCTCTGAATTCAAACTCCAGTACCATCAACAGAAAGAAAATACTTCAATAGCAAAATTGTAAGTCAATAATGGAGTCTGCAAAAGTTTTGAGGTCAGTAAACTACATAACAAGTATTTTTAACTTGCAAATAATGAATGGAGGGTTAAAACTGTGGAGGTAAGTAATATTCCAATTTTATCCAAATGAACACAGCATTTCAGAATGGCAAAGTCCCTTAGCCATTCTCATCTTCTCAACTTATCAGTATTCATGATACATGACAATCTGTTTTCCTTTTGAGTCCTGATGGTAATTAAGAGGAAATTCACTAATATCCACGATCCATTCTACCTCCAAATGTTAAAAAGGAGCTTTCCCCTGTTGATCTCTGTTTGACCTTTTGGAGTCATACTTGGCAGTCCTTTGTATATTTTAAAAGTACTTTTTAAGTGCCTATCCTAGGTCTTTTATATCTGACATCTTTTTTCTCTTTAACCTTCTTAGGAAGATTTTTCAGATTTTAATTTTCTTCCTATTTCTTTATGGATCCTTTGCAGACAGAACTACAAACTTTTCTTATCTATACAAATGAACAAATATATACGAAATAGATGAAACTATGCCGTTTTAATAAAATATAACCTAGAACCTAGACTTACTCTGTGATTTTTCTTAACAGGCTTTAAAAACAAATCTGGAAAAGAAAAAGCAAACCATGGAGAAACTCAGATTACTCCATCAAGATCTTCTTTCAACACTGAAAAATAAGTCAGTGACACAAAAGATGAAAGCATGGATGGAAAATATTGTCCAACGTTGGGATAATTTAGTACAAAAAGTTGAAAAGACGTCATCACAGGTAAATGATACCAATTATTATACTATTCATTATGCTCAGTAGTGTTGGAAACTGCATCAAGAGAACAATACTATGACACTACAAAGGATGACACTGAATTTTTCCTTCCCAAGTGTTCACTTGAATTAAAAACATTACTACCTTGCATGTCTTGATATTAGAGAATTGGGAAGAAGAAGAAGTTTGTAGCTAGGGTCTTTAATTCTGTAAAGGCTTCTTTTGTTAGTGCAAATAGTGACCTAATTATTGGATTTTCTGCCACAGACTGCTGATTTCATAAAATCATAAATGTGTCTTAGTTACACTAACACATGTAGGGTATTGAATAGGAAAATAATAATGCACTTTCATGGTAGGAAGTTTTGGAGTTTTAGTAACTTAAAGGGTGGTATTTTTAAAGTAGGGTTTTTTTGTTGTCTGATATTATATGGTAGAGTAATTGGTAGTCATTAAAAATATTGACATTATATAATAGTATTTAATATTCTGCCACATCAATTTTTATTATAAAAGGGCTTTTACTAATTGATTATAATTCATAGCTCAATGGACCATGCACACACCTCTGTTAACATAATGAACACATTCAATACATTTTTTTTAATTCTTCTGTTATGAGACAGGTTCAGGGAATTTGCTTTCTTAAGACTTCATACCTCCTAAGTAGCACTTAGGAAATGTTTGCTGAAATATGACAAAATACTGCTTCCAGAAATGCAATTTAAGAAAATATGATCAGTGAAGATTTATGAGTTTCAATCACACTTCAGTCTTTCTTTTAAACACAAACTCATCTTTAAAATTTGAAGTAATATAAGTATACATTGCAGTCATTTCTCATACAATCATTAGGTAATAGCAAAAACCTTATTTGTTTTCTGTTAAATGTATTTTTGCCCTGATTTAATAGTACTTTTACTGCTAGATCTTGATTTTTCCATATTATATGTGATCTGCTCATGACTATTTTATAATACCATTGGTATCTATGTAATAAATACAGGAGGCATTAGTAAATTTGAAAGTTTTTAATTCAAAAATGATGTATGGCAATATATACTCATTGTTTCCATAGATTATTACTTCAATAAAATGGTTAGAGAACATGTTAAGAAGGAATGATATTTATTTGATAAACTATTTTTTTCTTTGATCCTGGGGATTGAATTCAGAGCTTCATGTTTGCTAGCTAGGCACTGTACTACTTGAGTCATGATGGTAGTCCTTTTGCTGTTAGTTTGTTTTTCAGATAGGCTCCCTTGGTAACATTTTTCATGGCTGGAATCCAACAGCAATCTTCCTGTCTCCATATCCTGAGTAACTGGGATAATAGGCATGAACTACAATGCCCAGCTGATAAAATTCTTTTGAGATACATCTCTTTTAAGGGATATATTTGTGGAAGTGTAACTGTTAACCGTAAATCATGCTCTGGTTCACTTGAATGATATAAAGTAGCTCTCAAACTTCAATCTACATGATAATTACCTGGTGAGCTGATTACAATGCAAAATATTACACTCTCATTTGACGTGGAAAGTATATAGGAATCTGTACATTTACTAAGCCTTTTCACATAGGCTATAGTCTATATTTTTATAAATAATGAATGAGAATGACAATGACATATGTGCCAATCCTACATTTCCTTTTTCTACAATGATGACTGAAATGGGAAAATGATGACCACCCTAGGAATTGCAATATTTAAACTTACTGAGTCCTCTTGGAATGATACTACTCTTCAATGAAGGCTGTATATAGCTTCAAAGTATTTTTTATTTGATTATCCTGGATGGTGTAAAAGTATCAAAGCTTTAGTTTTAATGGCCTAGAAGTTATGCAACCCCCATATAGGCAATTTACTTAACCTGTTGTTCTATAATAAAGCAATATTAGCTTTGATTTCTATAGTTCTTTACAAAATGATGTCCAACATACATTATAGCATGTATCTTTCTACTTGCTCACTGTAATATATTGAGCACAAAATAAATCCATAGGCATAAAAGCATTTCATGGTGTAAAGGTGTTCTTGATATTTAAGTCATGCTGCTTAGTTTCTCTTCAGGGCTTATTGTCATTCACCATGATTTCTTTTTATTTTTATTTTCAAACATTATACACTCCATACCAGACTAGAAAAAGATAAAGGGACTTACCATAGGCAAGTTATTTCCCAGAACACTAAGCTGGAGCCTTTTATAAACTCTTGTATCAGCTTTACTTCATTGGCTTTCCCAAAAGTATGCCATCATAGAGCCAATTCAAATCTTTGCTAGTAGTTATCGAACTGTTAAGAAATAGAAATGGAGCTGCCCAAAGAAAAATGAATTAAATTCAACT